AACCAACCAACCGACTGGCTCTCCTTCACTAATCTCTCGGAGCTTGATCCTGGTGTCGTTATCTCTCCACTGTTGTTGGACACAATAACTGATTGTATTGTCCAGGCCACTGTTTTGTATGATCCCTAAAACCTCAACATGTTTGCTATTTTGTCCATGTATTTGGTGGACCCCTAACTGCCAACAGCCACAAAAAGCTCAGAAATTAGTCTGGAATATCTTCTATAGATATTCCATTTTTTACAACAAGATGTCCTTTCAGCAGGCCTAGCAGGTCAGATGTGAAAGCCAGAAAGAATCTTGGGTTAAGTTCACTTCAAGTATCTTTTCGACCACCAATTCAAAGGTCATTTGAAAGGTTACTAGGAAGTGTACCTCCCATGTTCTTTTTATCTTGCATTCCTATTGCCAAGAAATTGCTGATTTGCAGTGTATTGCCAAACACCTTTGGGGAGTGCTTTTTCACCATTCCAGCACTTCCATCTTTTCCCTTACCTTCTTGGCCATATGTTATGAGCCAAAAGATCACTACCATCTTTTAGAGCTGATAATCGACCATTTATGCTTCTGAAACTAAAGATTGCTCTTTGTTAGCCTAGTAGTGCAATGGTTGGATCAGATAATGTTATTATGAAATGCTGTACCAACTTCATCCTTCTTCCTTGCTCTTCTTCTGTTGGTTTTTAACTGGATTTGGCAGGAGGAGGATTTTTCCAGGTGCTTGGCATGGAACTATTGTCATCCATTTTTTTAACCATGAAAAGGATCCCAAGAATCCTTCTAACTATATAATTATTGCTTTGACTAGCTGTATCTTTAAGTTTTTTTAAAGGATGGTTAATGATCATCTTGTTTATTTTCTGGAATCAAACAATCTCCTCTTGCCCACCCAGTGTGGATCATCTGATTTGACTTGAAACACTGATCCGGGAAGTCTTCCTCTAGAGGAAACTTCTTGTATCAATCATTTTTGATCTTGAGAAGGCTTACAACACTACATGGAGGTTTGGCACACTACAAGTCCTCCATTCCTATGGGTTACGTGGCCACTTACCCATTTTTAATTGGATTTTTCTGAATGACAGATCATTCCAAGCCCATATGGGTTTGACATTGTCCCAATCATTTAATCAAGAACTTGAATGTTATGCTTTTCAGTATTAAGATCAATGCTATCACAGAATAACTTCCTCCTACAGTTGCAGATGGCCTCTGTGTTGATTACTTTCAGATTTCATGTAGGTTATCGAATATGAGGTTTATTGAGCAGCATCTTCAGACTGCACTCACTCACATGTTGAGGTGGACCATGCCAAACAGTTTCATCATCTTGTCATCTAAAACCATTTGTGTGCATTTTTGTCACAAGAACGAATTACACCTTATCCAGAGCTCCACCTGGGCATTTATTCTCATGGTTACTGAGACAGTGTTCTTGGACTTGGCTTGGACCATAAGCTTACATTTATTCCACACATTAAGCAGTTTCGTATCAAGTGTACAGGAACATTGAACATCCTCTCTTCCATATTTTGGGGAGCAGATAGATGTTACATGCTGAAAATTTGATCACAGCCAAAGTAACTGAACCCACCATTGTGGACTTTGACAATTATTTAAACCTCTGGATACAACTGTCATAACCAATAGTGTAAAGGATTTTTGTACATACATTTGACTTGTTTTGAATATATTATCACTGAGCTTTTAGGAGTTTGTAATTTATAGTTTAAATATACTAACACTGCATACTAAATTATTTGTATTTCATTTTATGCCATGTATATTTTGGTAACAAGCATTTAATCTTCTGAATTATTAAAATTAATAGAAAACTAATGGCTGAAAGTAGTGCTATATGTTTGTCATTGTTACTGAACAACATGTTTCTGTATATATGACAGTTTCAGTTGTTGTGAGTTCCAATTGTTATATATTATGTGTACAATCTTCTTTTAAAATTAACTTTTTTCATAAAATACCATCCATGTAAAATTTAGGATAGCACAAAGAATTATTCTAAGTAACAAAATGGAGTTTTCCATCACAATATACAAAAGCCCCAAAATAAGTTTCCATGCTGGTCTACTTGTATTTAAATTTCATGACTTAACCCTATCATTGAGGGTAGCTAGGGGTCAGAGGGCATGTCATTGTGTCTTTGTAGACTCGCATTCAAAATTTTATTGAACCACTATTTTATGAATGTATGTCAATAAACTTGGTATGAAACTGTAGATTTTAATTCAGATTTTAGTATTTTACATTGGTTAATTTCTGAATTTAAAAGTAAAAATAAAAAATTAGCTAAATATTTATTTTTGTATGTCACACCGGTGCGTCATCTTCTGATTACATTTTATGATGGCCACAATACAACATCTGTAGTTACATAAAGTCTACAAAAATTATTTTTTTCTACATCAACATGTGAACTTGGACAAGGCTTACAGCAAGTTTTAGCAAGTACGACTCACAAGTGCAAAAAAGAACTTCAAAACATCGTAAATAGTGGAAATCATTGTTTTCTGAATATTTTTTATTGTTCATTGTTTTAAGAAAAATAACTGAAATTTAAATATTTATTTGTAAATATTAAAAATATATATATATATATACGTATGTAATGTATGGTAACCCAAACCTCATTGTACCTTACCAAATTTTGGAAACTATGCATTTATTGATTACAGTGTAAGCATGGTAAAATAGGAAACATGATGTTCATAAGCACTTTTACACCTATATTACCACTAAATCCCGACTACCCAAGTCTATTTGATCTGATACAACTTTGTACGGGGGCCGTGTCAGGAATATTTTCTCTCACTTTTATATAGTACTTTAGACTATTCATTGTTGCAACTACTGTACTGTGTAAACAAGCTGATAAATCCCACCCCACTGTGTTTTCAGAATCAGGATTCAAATAGACTCTGTAGGAAATGTCCGCTTATCAACCAACATTCAAATACATACCAAGTTTATTAAATTGGCCCAGACTTTCTACAAAGCCATAGCATAAGCATTTTATAATACTCTAGACAATTCTGTTTGTAACCATTATACTGTCAACAAGTTGATAAATCCTACCCCACTGTGTTTTTAAAGTAGGGAAATTCTGGGAATTGTGCTGCAAAAGCTTATTTAATATTGACAGTGTCAAAGTATGGTAACACCTAAACAGGAACAGTGATTCAATGCTTTATATTTGACAGGCTTCTACTTCAGCCACTAACAGTAGAATAAACATAGGATATAGGTGTAAAAATATTAGAAGGAACTCAAGTGATTTACATTGGAACTTCATTTCTGTTTCTTCTAGTTTCTAAGCCATTTGCTAGCAATAAATTAACTACAGAAAATAAGTGTAAAAAGGTGAGAAGTGTAAACTCTGTCCATAAGTACTTTGACATTTGGTGATCAATACTAAAAATAATATACATTCTATTCTACATTTGCAATAAAATAGAAAGCTTTACTGAAAATATAAATGTTTGATATTTAATTATGAGGTTTTTATTTGTTTTCTCTACTTATTATTAAAAAAGTAACTAAAATGTAAGAAACAGAAACTTATTAGGTAAGATAATGAAAGAAAAATAATAAAAATCTCTATGAAGTATTTGCGCCAGCAGCTTGTTCGTTACTCTATTCCATATCATAATGCGAGCTATAAGATGTCATGACTTACTTATGACTTGCAATGGATCATAAATACTATTGCGTTTTAAGACTACTACAACAGTGATAGGCTGAAAAATTATTCTTTAATGATGAATGATTGTAGGTGAATTACTTAAATATTGGTTTTTATATCAATAATGTGGACAATGAAACTGCTACAACAAGCAAAAATCCATTTTGATTTATCAATACTGTCTTATATTCAAAATATCAAAGATAAGGAAATGCTATTTTTACACTCTTTCCTTAGATGTTAAAATTAATGTAACTTTTTTGTAATTTTTATAAATACACAATATATTATCTGTTTTAACTAAAACATTAAACAATCAATATCACTTAGGAAGTATGAAGAAGCACTGGAATTTCATCAACAGGCCTTGGTTCTGAGTCCTCAAAATCCAGCATCTTTTGCAGCAATTGGTTATGTTCACAGCCTTACATGTCACTGGACACAAGCAGTTGAATATTTTCACAAGGTGTGTTTCCTGTTTAAAACTAGAAAACTGATTTTCTTGTATGGTTTTCTTTTTATATTATCTTTGAAAATTTAATTTAGTGTAAGAATGAAAATTATGTACTATTTCTCACAAGAAGTGAAATCTATCTGCATTAAACTATAGCACAACTTACAGTTTCTGTGATAAAGTGAAACTGCTTCGTAATTTTATAAAAGCACAAATAGTAAAAGTACTAGTGCTTTTTATTAATATATAAATAGGGGTTATATATATTCCATATCTTGGGTTTTATTTTTTATACAGGTAGTACCTAAGTTACAAACAAATTGCTTCCCAAGAATTGGTTTGCAAGGTGTTTTTTCAATGCTCAGAACTCAATTTCCCATAGACCCAATGTTATAAATGGTGGTTACACTTCCCAAACCAGCTCACAAAAGCCTTTTTGACCCATAATTAAGCTTAAATGTTTTATTTTTCCTATCAATATAGTACAGTACATATACAATACAATTAATAAGAGATATATAATAGGTAATTAACATAAAACAAATTAACTTGCAACAACAACATGCACTTTTAATATCACATACTTTCAGTCCTTGTCAGGTTTTTATGTATGTATGGACCAGATTCTTTGCATTAGGTGTCTGTGACTTGTTGGCAATACATTTCAACAATAAACAAACAGCACACGGATGTCATTTCTAGATTTCTTTCTTACTTCAAAATTTGATTAAACCACTTTAATATCAATGTATTTAATGAAATTATTATTATCAAGTACATTATAATTCAAAGTTTTATATTATCTAAATTTTCATTCCTTTATCTCAAAAGAAGCATCTAAAACAACAAGTAAAGCGTAAGTTTTTGCTGTCACGTGACGGTTACAATTTCTTAACTTCAATAGTTGATAGAGAATAAACTTTGTGTCTGCACTGTATAGGCTTCCTTCAGATGGCCAAAGTACACATCCATGTGTTGTACATTATTGTCTTCATTACTTTCAAAGAATTTCTCCCCACAAACAACTGTCATAAATTTTTCTTTAGTTTAAGGTCAGCTGCGACCACTTGCAAAATCAAAGCTGTGTTGGTATGTGACAGTTTGAAGTTTGAAGCAGATTTCAATCTTCAAGGTTGTTACTTTAATAATAATGTATGAGTAAAAGTTTATTTTTAAACAGGATGAAATAAAGCAAAGTCCACTGTTCTCTCAAGGTGTCCGTAGCACTCGGCAATTTTTCTTGCCTTGTACATATTAGTTTGATAGACAGTTAGATTGCATTTAGATTTTACTTTTATATTTTAATTATGTATTATTTGTGTTTTAACTCTCTCAACATGGACTCGGTCGATTTGACCAGCCACATGACCTGTTTGTACTCATTTCAGGTCTTTATAGTTTTGATACTACTAACTTTTAATATAGTATGTATATCTTCAGAAAATTTGGCAGACTTTCAGTAAACATTACAAGTCTTTCACATAAAAAAGATATCTTTTTTAGTGAAGTATTTTTGATAAACTAAAAAAAAAAAAGATTTGTCCATGAATAAATCGATTATTTGTTTTGACTAGTCCATGTGCAAAGTGATTTTCGTGTTCAGATTAAAAATACTTTTCTTCATCTCAAAAATTTCACTTGCATAATCTCTAAACCTCCTAAATACACTTCAAATGTTTATTTTCAGTCAAACTTTATATTTTATCTGTTATTTTCTCTATCCTAACTCTATACAAGGTTGGTCAATTTGACAGACCTCATAACCACCAAAATCAAAATAAATCTAAATTACCCTTCTTTTCTTTCTAGAATTACTTAAGATTGTAATATAAAGCTACATTCATTTATACTTACATTTTATTGCCCTTTGAACCATATCTAACTACTATTTGCAGCATTTTAAGTTGTAAATCACTTGGGGAACGTGGAGCTCATGTTACACTATCGAATTACATTACCCACGAGCTACTTGCATGCATGTCTTGTGAAACATGATAGTAATGTACTAAGTAATTTTTGTTTAGTTAAATAATGCACCATAGAACGTAGAATAATAACATGCAAAAAGCACACAATTTCCCCTAACTATCACAATTTTTTTCACTTTCTAACTACGTGACAAGAGTCTATGCAAATTTATCCAAGCTAGTTGTTGCCTTACCCGTGGGAACGAAGCTTGTACTAACAGGGAAATTGACAATTCTCCATTCAGAAAACAAGGTAATATAATATGTCATTTGGTAGATGCAAACCTTGGCTTTCTATTGCTTATACATAATGTAGTATTGAGAGTAAGAGAGATCTATTAACAAATCCTGAAAGAGAGGATGTGACAGGTGGTGTGGCAAGAAGGGTCTAATTTTCTATTTGATGGCTCTGTAACCAAACAAAATTGAAGGCAATAAAGATTAGTTTGTCTAACCAATAGCGATTTTATAGTAATTTACAGTAAATTTCGTAATTATTGGAGGGGTGGTGAATATAATAGAAAAGAGAGGATGCCTAGAAAAAAAAGACGCATTTCTCACGCTAGGGGAAATTCAGGATATTTTTAAATATTGCCTTATAAAATTAAGAACTTAGAATTTATGTACTATTAAAATATGGTTTATAAGCTACTATTTTATTCTATACTAATTGGTATAATATAAACAAAAAGTAGTTTAATAACATTTTGAATGTAAGTTGCTAAAAGCTTGTGACATGTGCAGTAAATGATGCCCAGGCAGAGAGGGTTAAATGCATATTTGGAAAGGTGTAATGATTTTACAAGTTTTTTGTTGCTTGGATTGTGAAAGCTTATAAACACTGTGTGTGTGTATAAGAGACAATTTGTTTTTGCAATGAGTCTCTGCATGGAGTCTGTTGAAATAACTTCATAAAGCTTTGCATAACTAGTAAAAGATAAAGAATTTGAAAGGAAAATTAAAAATAGACTATAAGTAAAAAATAAAGAGGGGGAAATTACGCACAGAAGACCAATAAGAATATTCTAGAGAATTTCTTTGAAGAGTTGAAAGGTATGTACATATTTTCATTAGTTCATTTTAAACATTTCATTGCACTTATGTTAATATAGTTAGTGTTGAACTAGAGAAAATAGAAAATAAAATATAAACATTTATCTTAAAAAACTTTTGGTATTCGTTTATGAGATTCTAGAGATTATGCAAATGAATGTGAAAACTGTAAAGTAAAAAATAGTAAGAGTGCAAATAACTACATTAAGAAACTAATATTTATTAGAAACAGTACAAAAAGTCAAAATTAAATATTTTATTTTTCTGAAACTACATGCTTTTAGGAAAGTCCTTGTCAAATTTCAAACAATTTCATCTGCTAGTTTTATTTTTGGAACAATATGTAATGATGGTAAGGTTAGGTCCTTACAATTTGGGGATGCAGACACCATAGGTTTAAATAATCGTCTCTTTTTGTCAAAGTCCATACAGGCTGGTTCAGTTACTTTAGAACACAATTGACAATATGAATTATTTTTTCTGTTCTGTTGGTACAATACAATCTGTGATACTTTCACTTATGCTGCACTGTTGGTTACCACAGTTGTATCCAGAGCTTTAGATAATTGTCTTTTTTCCTCAAAAGTCCACACATTTTTCTTCAATTACTTTAGAACACAATTGACAAGACAAATTTTTCTTCTCTACTCTATTGTTACAATACAATCTGCGATAATATCATTTTGAAAAATAAACAAACACCACTATATGCTCTGTATGGCTAAACTCAGAAATATAGTCTAGATCTATCTATCTCTGACCGACTTTGTTTAACTTTCACTAACTTGCATTGATTTGTTTGCCTATATATTGCCCAACTGAGACGTAGAAATTTCTGCAAACTACGAGATGTTATGATGTAACAATACTCAATGAAACAAGGAAAAAAACTTAGATGATCATAGCTGTGGTATAAAAGTTTTTAATTAATGGTATGAGTATTAGTTAATAGGGGATTTTGGTGTTAGTGTTACATTTATCTATAATTTAATACTGTTTAATCTGCAGTTTGACATAGCAAGTTTATTGTGATTTTAGCTATAATGTAAGCTTATAAAGTTATTGGTAAGTTATAAAACAGACTAAATAAGTGATCTAAAGACTAATTCTTTGTTTCTTCTAATGTTCAAGATAAACTTAATTACTTTAGTGAGAAGATAAGCTAGTGATAAAATAGTGTAATATAGTTAACTCTAATGTTAAGCTTAACAATGTTATCAGTAGGTACTTGTATTTAGTGTTGATTATTTATGCCCAGGCTACAATGGTTAATAGTAATGCAGGTATTAAGCACTAAGTTTGTGAGTTTGTAAGACACAGCAAGTTCAATGAGTGATTTTTATTTCGAAACTGGGAACTAACATGCATATTTAAGGTGGCAGAAATTGGAGGCTGTTCTAAATAGAGTAAAAGAAATGGATATAAAAGGGAAATGGTGAACTGGGAAATGGCAGCATGATTTAAAGAGAGCTTAAGCTTTTTCATGCAGAGTATATAGCGGCTAATAATGACTTTCAGGAAGTAAAAAATGGTACTAATAGGGCTAATAGCATTGAATTTAATTATAATGAGCAGCTTCTGTTAAATAACAGATTTTAGCCTTTAGCTTTTGGAGATATGGAACCAAGGGAGGAAAAGATAACAAAAGAGATTGTTATAAGCACATGAATAAGATAGTCTGTGGCTTAGATACAGAGAAAAGAATTACATTATGCGATCCAGGGGCAGGGGTTGAGGATATAACCGACAAAGGGTGCTAGCAGTGATGCAGACTTTGCAATGCACAGAGGGGCTATTTATTCAGGGAACAGTAGGTCAGAGGAACTAATTGTTGAGTACAAAACATTAATAAAGGCATTTAATTCTATCCTGAATACTACCAAGACTTAATTGTGAAGATAAAATTATAAGTAGATCTCTATGCTAGGCTTAGGTTAATATGTAAGGACAAGTAGGTTGATTGGATCAGTTCAATGAGAAAATGGAGCTTTT